GAGAGAGAGAGAGAGAGAGAGAGAGAGAGAGAGAGAGAGAGAGAGAGAGAGANCTTATTCAATAATTTTTGATGCACGACGAGAGAGAGAGAGAGAGAGAGAGAGAGAGAGAGAGAGAGAGAGAGAGAGAGAGAGGGGTTTGCTTGACTTGTTCGTGCGTATTGCTTATGAATTACAAAAGGTTTTGTTTAGGGTGGACATTTAAAGTGACATTGTTTTTAACTCATAGTACTATTTTTTGTACTCAAACATAGATATATTAGTTATTTTCTGTGCTAGAAGGCACAAAGTAATAAAAAAATTGTCAATAATAAATATATTTGTATTCACATCTAAAATTAAATCCCAAACATAAAAGAGAGATAAAGAAATTTAAATATTGATTGTAATGAGGGTGAGTGGTGTTAGTGGTGGTGGGTGGCAGTAGTAATGGTGGGAGATAGTGATGATTGTGGTGAGTGGTGACAACTGTGGTAATGGTAGCAGCTGTGGGTGATAACGATGATGATGGTGGTGGATTTTTGGGTGACGATGATAGTAATGGTAGCCGTGAGTGACGACAGTGATGGTGGTGGACGATGGTGATGGTGGTTGGCAATGGTGGTGGTNGGTGATGATGGTGGTGGATTTTTGGATGACGATGATAGTAATGGTAGCCGTGAGTGACGACAGTGATGGTGGTGGGTATGAGAAGTGGTGGACGATGGTGATGGTGGTTGGCAATGGTGGTGGTGGGACGATAACGGTGGTGGTGGGTATATGAGAGGTGGTGGACGGTGGAGATGGTGGGCGACAACAGGTGGTGGTGGGTTGTGGTAATGAGTGACGGTGGACAATAATAGTAGTGGTGGGTGCTGATGGTGGTAGTGGGATGATGGTGATAATGATAATAAATATAAGAATAAGATGATGATGGTGGTAGGTGGTGACAATAGACGACGATGGTAGCAATTAGTGGTGGTGGTGGTGGTGACAGTGGGGCAGTGAGGGTGGGGTGGGGGTGCAAGTGGGGCAGTGGCAGTGGTGGTAGTTGTGATGGTCGTGGGGGTGGTGGTGGGGC